ATGGTGGTAGAAACCCTCTATGAGACTGAATTAAACGCCCAATGACTTGCGAAATGCGAATTCGACACCTTTAAAATTCCTCTCACTGCAAAAATATCGACAGAACAGTATTGTCATCTCCTATATAGACCATATAATCCGTTGATATATATTTCCTAGTATATTGACTAATCGCCTTGTCAGTGGTTACCTTCACACCATTCGGAAATGTGGCTATCCGCAGCTATCCATCACTATATTTTATGCGGCTCACCGGACCTGGTCAGGACCGATAGCTGCTACCTTGACGTTTTGGTCGGGCTTGCATATCACAATGACCCAACGAGCTATGCTGGTGAAGCATTTATTACCTCGAGGTCCTACCATACCAGAAAGGTCTATTGGATAGTGGTTAGACGAAAAGCAGTCACCGTTGTGGTGTAAATTACTACATGATGATGGGGGTCTGAGGGGAAGTCGTACTGCTGCTAGTTGGATGGGGTGTGACAGCAGTAAGGTGTTTCCCTTGGATGACCAGCAGTGCCATGCTGCCTTCTGAGTGGAAGGCGGGGTGGAGGGTGGCAGGTCAGAAAAGGTCTTCCCCAAAAATAACACACTCCACCATGCCCCACAGTCTGCCGGGCCGGTGGTGTTGGTTCATTTGTCGTTTCTTTTCAACCAGCCGGGCCCAAAATAACAAAAGTTTGAGATAACCATACACAAAAGGCCTGAGTGTGACAGGCCTCAAACAGATGTCCGATGGGCTTTGAGGTCACACAAATCTGTTTCAGGTGCTTTAAGAAGAAACAGCCTTTGACGGTTTGGGCAGTCGGGAAGCGTCAATCGTCCTCACAACTCTGTCAGCACTCAAGTTTCTTGAGACTGTTATCCACCTCCCCCCTCATTACCTTCTAATCTTCCTTCACGTCTCGTAATTAACAATACTACATCATCCTCAATTTCTCTTGGTTCTGCAGCCTTTGACAAAGATCTGAATCCACAAAATGTCATCCATGGGCTCCTTGAACTATGCTCCAAATTACACATTGGGGCCTTCAATGTCCACACCCTCCATCAAATTGGTCAACAGGCTTCGTTGGCGAAGACTGTAGCAACTCGGGGTATGGATGTGTGCTGTGTTTGTGAGACACGCATACAGGACTCAAGTGTGGTTATTCACCTAACATCTCCCGAGCAATCTGGTGAATCCGCGAAATTCACCCTCCGAGTTTCTGGCGATTCGATGGCTAGCTCTCGTGGTCTTGCAGGTGCAGTCATAGGATTAAGCACTAGGGCAGGAAGCTCATTACTAGACTGGTACCCAGTTGATAGTCGCCTCTGTGCTATGTGAGTGAATGGCACAGTGAGAACTACAAAGAACAGTGAGACTCGCCGTTGTCTCTTTGTAGTCTCTGCTCACACACCTACTGACTGCCGTACGGATGAAGTGAAGGATGAGTCCTACCGAAAACTGTCTAGCCTCCTCTCGAAAGCGAAACGTCCGGACGTGGTGGTTGTTGCAGGTGACTTCACTGCACAGGCAGGTGGGTAGACAGAGTGAGGCAGAAAGGCACTTAGGTGAGACTTTCTGAGTCCCGGCCGAACGTACAGATAACGGTGATCGCCTACTACACTACAGCTGTGCTCAGATATAACCGCCTATTTTTAGCTAGCACAAATCTCAGACATAGAGAAAACTTTGTCTGACGTGGCGTCCACCGAGTTCAACCCAGCGATGAACACAGATAGACCACATTGCTATTAGTCATCGGTGGAGAGGATCGGTGGAAGACTGTCGCTCCTTCTGGAGTACGTGTTTGGATAGCGACCACACGTTGGTTCGAGTGTGTATATATCTGCGTCTCAATGGACGTAGAAAAAGTTTGGCAACAAAACCACTAGGAGTACTGCTGGACAAGGAAAACAGCAAAGGCTTGTTCAGTGAGCTGGCTAGGCAGTTATCGGAACCGAAGACGATCACTCATCCAGAAAAAGCTTGGTGCCATCTTCAGTCTACTATGAAAGCAGCGCTGAAGACCGTAGCCAACTCCGAAAGAGTGGCTAAAAAGAGCCAGTGGATACCAGTCAACGCAACGACGGCTAACAGTGGTGGGCACCGAAGGCTAAAGAGCTGGAAAAGGCAGCGGCGATTGGTAACAGTAGACAGTTATTTAAACTTATCAAGGAAACTGGGGGAGGGGGGCGGCAAAGGTTGACTGCAGTTAGTGAGACCGTAGCGGAGAAGGACGGATCTGTAATTCCTTCGCAGGGGAGACGACTAGTACGATGGGCAGAACACTTCGAGGAGCAGTTTAACTGGCCTCCAGCCACGATTGCGTTGCCCCCTATAGCCAGCCGGATCCTGAATGGGACATTGAGATAGTCTCCCAAACACTAGAAGTTGAGAAAGCGGTAGGTAACCTGAAACGAGAAAGGGCAGCAGGACCAGACAGACTACCTGCTGAGGTATACAAGGATGATGGTAAGTCAGGCTAACGTAAGTGTTAACCAGTACATGTGAATCTGACACGATCCCCTCTGACTGGTCTAAGTCACTGACTACACTAGTCTTCAAGAAAGGTGAGAAGTCCTCTTGTGATAACCGCAGAGGAATCAGCCTGACGAACATAGTATCTAAGATTCTAGGTTTTATAATTCTTCAACGCCTGTGTGGAGCTCGGGAACAACGAGCCCGAGAAAACGAAGCAGGCTTCAGACTCGGCTGCGGATGTAACGACCGAGTATTCACACTGCCCCAGGTTTCCGAACACAGACACGCTTACCGGCACCCGAAACTTGCTGTATTTCTCGACCTGAAGGCGGCGGCATTCGACTCCGTTGATCGAGAAGTTATATGGCAATGTCTTTCACTGAAAGGCGTGCCGAGTGAGTACATCACTTTATTGAAGGCTCTCTACTAGAACAATTGTGGGCGTGTTAGAGCCTATGGTGAGATGTCCAGGGAGCTGTACTGTTCGAGTGGTGCCCACTCTCTCCATTCTTACTCAGTTTTATCATAGATATTCTTGTGGAGGTTTCCCTCTCCTCACCTGATTACACAGAGGTTGACCTAATCGGTGGAGAATTTTCGTTAGACGTAGAATATGCAGATGACATAGTCCTGTTAAGTGAAGACGCTGACAGGATGCAGAGTCTTCTGAACACTTTGAGTAGCAATTTGAGAATGTTTGGGATACGTTTCTCGCCACCGAAATGCAAATTGTTGCTCCGGGATTGGTCTTCAACTGTGCCGCACAGCGGCTAACAATAGAAAGTGAAGTGGTTGAGTGTGTTGACCACTTCACTTACCTGGGAAGTAGGATCAACCCTGCCCTGGTGGTTCAGTGGCCGGTGAAATCTCTGCACGAATATAAAAGGTTCGACTGACTTTTGCCAATTTGCGCCACCTATGGCGCCGCCGTGATATCCGTTTGTCTATTAAGGGTCATGTGTACTGCTCAGCAGTCCGCTCTGTCCTATTGTATGGCTGTGAAACATGGCCATTGAAGGTGGAAGACAGGAGAAGGCTGGCTTCAGGTGTTTGACCATCGTTGTCTTCGTAGTATAGGTCGTATTCGTGGTGTCACCACGTGAGTGGCGCAGAAGTCAGGACGAGGAGTAGAGTTTTAGGGAGAAGAGGTAAGTCGGTTGACGATGTTGTGAACCTTCATTGACTGAGATGGTTGGGACACGCGTTACGTATGCCTATTCGCCGACTACCTCGTCACACAATGTTGTCCGAAGTAGGTTCAGACTGGCAAAAGGTCCGAGGTGGACAGACGAAAACATGACACCAATGCATGAAGTCTTTAACTTTTGGTTTAAGCCATGTGAGGCGATGCAGACTAGGTGGTTGGGGTTTGTGGGACAAGAAGAAGCAGTGGTTGGAGACTCTAGGTGATATGGCTGAGAAACGTATGTCAGTGACGCAGATGTATACATGCATTATCGTCATCTGAACGACGCTATACCAAATCTTACCACTTTCTCATTCTTCGTTCCCCTCTTCTCATGCTTTATATTTCTTGACTGCATTCTCTTATCATACGCCTCACTGCCTTTTTACTTGATGTACTGATATGAGGTGTGGCGACTCGGATCATTACGCAGTAATGCGTAGTCCTAGGCGGATCTGGATGGACTGCACTTGGTACTCAGCTTCTTGTCATCCAACCTGAATATTATCATGAGCTTTCACACTGGCTCGTGGTCTGATACATAAACCTGTAGAGAGGAGAGCTGTAGTTCATTGGTTTCGGTTGTCGACCTCCACCGCACCTATCAAATTTTGAGCAACCAGGCAGTATCGAGGGTTGTGTAAGGATCGTTATCCACTACAGAACCAATGTCTGACCGCTGAATAAAACTGTAACTTGTCACTCACTTCGTTGCAAGAACTATATTGAAATGAATAACGCTCAGGAAGCATACCTCATTAAATACAAACCACGTTGGTTTTGCTACATTGCTCTGGTAGGCAGTGACTCCAACCCAGTAATGGATGAGCGAAGAGGACAGGATCGTAAAGCGAGAGCTACTGACTGGTCCACTCTTTTAATATGACAACACTCAAAAACCTAACACATTATAATACTACCGCACCGTCGTTTGACTCATAAAAAGTGCAATTTATTAGGGACGATGGTTATCCACCATGCTGAACGACACAACGCCTAAAAAGTGTATAGCGGTTAGTACTAAATTATTATTTTCAGCGTTCACCAACAGACCACAATTAAGTGAGTAGGTCTTCAGATTGTCCTTTCGGTCTAGAAACGAGAGCATATAGAACTTACAGAAATTGAGGTTAAACTAGCATAAGGAATGAATTAGTTACGCAAGATTTTCAACGCACTAACTCACGAATCAGATCCCTGCCACAGACAGTGAATTCGATTATAAACACAAGAAAAATTTAAACAGCTGGACATACCAAACTAGTGACGTCTGAACTAATTAACATTTGAGCAAGTGGAAGTATAAATAATCTTTATTCACATAAAAATCTAACGATAGAATAATCAGAAATCTTCCTCAATCGAAAAATTGTGAGTGGACTCGCCTCTGGCTCGAGACATTACCCCAGCGCGTTGATACTCCCCAACACGTTTTTCAAAGAAATTTGTTTTCCCTTCGATAGAAATGTTCTCCATGAAATCAAATGGATTTTCAGAGAAATACACCTAGATGTAAGTCACATGAGCAAAATACACCTACCTTTTCGTAACCAAGTTCCACTAAAAGCCGATCTGCAATAAACTGGATGTACTGACACATCAATTTGCAGTTCATTCCTATCAAACTGACTGGAAGGGCCTCAGACAAAAACTCTTGTTCAATCGCAACTGCTTCCTTCATAATCGTCTCAACACGCTCTTTGGAAGGCTTTTTGACAATATGTTTAAATAGAAGACAAGCGAAGTCACAATGTAGGCCTTCGTCTCTGCTTATCAACTCGTTGCTGAAAGACAGCCCAGGCATTAATCCTCGCTTTTTCAACCAAAAGATAGCAGCGAAGCTGCCAGAGAAAAACACACCCTCCACTGCCGCAAAGGCGACTAGACGTTCAGCAAACGTAGACTTTGAATCACCAATCCAATCTAATGCCCACTTGGCCTTTTTAGTGACACAATCCAGGTTACTCACAGCGTTGAAAAGGAAATCCCTTTCTTTGGGATCTTTTACGTATGTGTCAATCAGTAATGAGTACATCTCAGAATGAATGTTTTCTATCGCTATCTGCATACCATAAAAACAACGAACTTCGGGAATCTGCACCTCCTGACTGAACCGTTCAAGCAGGTTCTCGAGAACAATCCCATCACTTGCTGCGAAGAAGGCTAACACGTACGAAATGAAATGACGTTCCCCAACTTTTAGAGATTCCCAATCCACAATGTCTTTGGATAAGTCTACCTCCTCTACAGTCCAGAAAGAAGCTACTGCTTTCTTATAAAACTGCCACACATCATGGTACTGTATAGGGAAAAGAACGAAGCGATGTGGATTCGGTTTAAGGAGAGGTTCAATTTCCAATTCACTTTTTGTAACAGAAAACTGTTTGTCATAAGTAACTTCCTATAAATACGGTAGTGCCAGTGATTAAGCAACTTACCTTCTCCACTAGAGACGGAGTATGCTCTTTCTACATTCGCATGTTTTAGTACAATGTAAATCACACTTACAATGTAAGTCGACAGTTCATTTTCCTTATTTGACTCAAGCGACATGTCCAAACCAAATTCGAATTTAACACTAACACTTACTCCAACATTCAGTGAGTTATCTAAACAAAAAGCCACTTGAGGCAAATGGTTTCAAATACTGAAATAACCTTGCGATTTTTTCAGAAAGTCGTTCAAATGGAAAACGATCACCTCCGCAGCTATACACAAGTAAAACGAAATGATATACAGCCACCAGAGAAGTATAACACTAAAAATTGTGCCTCAAGACCTAGATGTCAGAGTTTAAAAGCTATCAGACTTTTGCGAAGTCATCGAAACTACTCTTACAATAAGAACATATTGATGCTTATCAGCATCTAAGCAGTGGAAGGCACACTCACCATTTTTCTTGGATGGTTGAGGCCTAACACATGAGCTTGTGTAGTAAGGTTTGCATTGCAAGTAAACATGACGATGTGGATGGTGGTGAGGCATGCTGAGGGAACTGTTAACTATTATAAGGTCCTACCCTAGTCTTCTTCACATTGCAGTGTATAAATCAGGCGCTACGGACGGCTTTTGTATGCTTTATGCCGCAGCCATACGCAGAGATTTGATTGAAGGCTAATGAACGTGTTCCAGACTAATGAAGCCTTTTTGGACTAGGGCAGGTAGACTTCATTAACAGGCTGTGAAGGACCATGTATAGATCTTTTGAAAATTTCATGACAGTGTTGCAATTCGAATGCTGTAACGACTTGTCCATAGGTTACTTGCGTCAAGTTTACGCGAAATGCCATTCCGTATCCCCCATCTCGGAACCTGGGCTTACAACAGACCAAAACACTGATAAGACATAAATGTTTTAGTCTCGCGTTAAAAAAAGATTTTAACATGAGAGAAGCCAGTTTACAGGCTTCATCACTTTGATACATCCCAAAATATCTACAAGACTTGAACCCTGAGTGGTACTGATGGAATGTCATTAAACTCAATTAAAAACTGTCGAACGTCCTGCTAGTTATGAAATGAGCAAGGAAATATTACTTTACAGTGTACATAGAGTGTTAAAGCTTAGATAATAATAAATATTGTCTTCATTTAACAGGTTTAACATGAGGGATACCAGTTTACAAGCACCGTCAAATTCATAACTTCTGAAAGTAACTAGTATTAAATAATTTACATATCAAGTCATTAGTGTGCATAATCCTATTGGAACTTGCTGAAATTCATGAGACGGACATGGATTGCCATCTCCCACCACATAGATAGATTCCATTATCAATATCAAAAGCGCGCAGTGTTCAGTTTGCGTCGTAACCAACCGACGTTGTTAGTCCATTCGCATAGTTTGCTGATTAGTAATACAACAGTTTATTACTTGGAACGATCTTAAGTTTTAAGCTTTGCTAACCACAAAGGACCCATTTATACAATCTGGAGTATCAATAAAGTATCCACGGTTATATAGCCAACGTGTATGACTATATCAATGCGTATCCAGGTCACCATGTTAAGTTTAAAGGTAATATAGATTAATTCTGCTGGGAATACTTGTTGTATTGGACGAAAATAGATGTTGAAACAGCCAATGGTCCAAGTGGCAGTATTTATACATAGACTTCGGGTATCTTTTGTATTAGCATAGGCGGCATCATTCGAGAAGTGTATTTGATGCGTAGTAAGTTCCATATGAAAGGGTCTCTTGGTACAGAGTACTAGAAAATATATAGTGTGGAGCTATTGCAGGTAAGTGACGTCCTGAGCCAATATGTAAATATGTCTCTGGTTCAATCATCTGTTCAGAATGTCTCTGCTACCAATACTGTTGGGAATGGTCAGACGGTTAGTTGCAAGAAAAATCATGACCAGTAGGTTAGTTAATCTTGAAAATGGCCCAGAATTTGCGAAAGAGTGGCAGCAGTCCAATGGTTATTGGCGTCAATGAGCAGGTGTTATTCTCATAAAGTGACCACGTTCAGACTGAATTTGAACATCAAATGTCGACTTGCAGCTGTTTCTGCAAATGGAGAAAGAAAGAAGAGGCACCAGCATATATGGAAAGAGGGATTACTACACTATCAGACTTGGAGAAGGGAGAAGTCCTTATTCCTTTTGCTTTATTCGGACTTTGTGTACATTTTCATATACATATATGTGAAGCCAACTACACAGTCCGTCCATTATAAGGTTCTTAAGTCGTTTTTTTTTGGGGGGGGGAGGTGTACCGTAGTGGCTTTGAGAGATAAGCAGTATTCTTCAAGTTCATTATACGAAGAGGAGCCAGTATTCATACCCTTGTATGCAATCGTAAGGCCATCTGCATTGAAGGAACTACAGGGCTATAATAAAACCGATTCTTACATTTAGAGATCTGAGTACGTTCATAGTGGACACAGTGGCTTGACCATTGTTATATGCCGACTGCTCCATTATGCTTCGTATTTGTGTATATAATATGAACGTCGAGAAATTTATAGACATCCGTGGAAAGAAAGAATTCGTTGAGTAGACGTCGAAACCGAAATGCAAACATTTATGTCTTTATGTCTTAAAACACTCACGTCTTTCTCTGTGAGTAGCTCTTATAATTCTGTACAAGTGAAAATGTGAGCACAACGTACCTCGCGTTTTAGGTCCATCAATTAGCATCTTCAGGGTTCGATGCAGCTTATACACATCACAAGATGAAACGCCATTATTTACCGACAAAGTCAGAATGAGAATTTATTGCTTCGTAACTATATCATATTGATGACAGCATTTAATTCACTTTGAAACGTCATCAGTAAATACTACCGTTCCGCTGTGTGATACGCATGAAAAATAACTGCTGTGAAATTAGGCTTCACCTTGATACCCTAATTGCGTTTTCACATTACGGCGAGAATTTTCATGCAAAGAAATTCTATCTTTATGTCCTCTGAATTCCTTCGGCTACATGTCGTCAGCAGAAAGATTTCAAGAGACACCTGCTAAGGCTATTCGTATACAGAGGAGGGGGGGTTCAGTTTTTCTTCGACCCCAGCAGTAACAACCTGCTATCACATGGAGTCGGGAAAATTGATGATGCATTACTGCTCTCTTCTTAAGCTACTCTTTCAAGGAGGTTAGCTAAAATCTTGCTATCATTTGAATCGTTATGATTTCGGGATTACGAAAATTTGCAACGTATTGATGAGGTAGACGTTGGCGTATATTTCTTCGACTTGATGCAATGAGGACTACTGAAGTTTCGTGCCATGTGGACCACTTTCGAAGGTCAGGCGGTGGCCCCGGAAGCTGGCTGCAGACAGGTAACCTGTAGTGGGCCTTTTCAAGAATAAGAGCTGCTTCTACAGAGCAGGCATACGAATGCCATCTAGTTTAGGAGAGCTATACCTGGTGAGTAACAGAAACTTGAGCGTCACTAATAAAACGCCGATATTTACGACCGAGAATCCATCTTGTTCAGTCGAACACTTCTTTATGCCTGGGGTGGTAGTCGGTGGTGAGAATTTTTGTATGCACAGACAGCTAGTCGGTGGTCGGGCGTCGTAACTCACTTGGTATTGCGCTTGCCGGAAATCCAGTGGTCTCTGGTTTGAACCCGGCAACGTTCCAACTTTCCCTTCCGCCTTCAACTATCACCCAGTACATACAGACTAGCCCAAAGTTCAGTGGCCCAAATATCTGCCAGTTAGTTCACTCGAGTGCACAAGGTGGTAAGTTTTCGCGTTAGCCTGTCTTGTAGCCTCAGTTCTCAGGTCACGGAGTTAAAATCTAGGACCCCTGCTGCATCCATTATGTCAACATTTCATCGCGCTCAATCTAGATTATATGAAGCGCTTTAACATTCTGCGTGGCTCACAGACTTCCTGATGCAAAGCCTCATATGAATCTTCGTCAATTTATTCATTTTAACACTGAGTTTTTGCTACCATTTTTCAGGAAAGGGTATGGGCTCAAATGCACGCCTAGTGTTCGGCAACGTAGGGTGAAGAGGACAACGTACAAGAACCGCTTGTTTACATGCCCCTATTTCATGTAAATGGAAAGTTTGCACATGGTGATAGAAATGAACAAAGGAATACAGCAGCTGATGTTAATTAAAGGAATTGACATACTGCTGCAAAAAGCTTTCATCTGCATTCTACTCAGCTAAGGGAAGGGAAACAGAATGAGTTCCGACAACTCAACAAAATGTGTAATGCGTTTAATATCTGCGTAAATCTACTTGTAGAACAACGTGGTGATGGCCTAATGCCAATAAATCTTCAGCCTGTTTAAGGGAGATTTTCTAGGTTTTCAGAGAGTTTTAAAAACATCTTGGGTTCGGCGCTTGTCATATATCAGCGAGAATTCCCTGTGTGTTGACGTTTAATAGGATGTTTATGATACCTAACCATAGGGAAAGTCGACATTTGTTGGATAAACTTCTATGGTGGGGAGCCAAACAATCACAACTTTTAAAAACGTTAGGTTTGAGCTGCAGGGCATAGGTACCAGACAATGCGGAAAATCTGAAGACGAGAGAGAGCCGGATGAGAAACAGATGTTAATTTCGGCCCATCACGGAAGTTTTTGCGAAAGCTCAATCGGGGGAAAGGATTAGGTTTAAAAGTCTCGCAAATATTCAGCTAGGCATTCTGGATGGCGTTATTTATCCATATTTTCATATTTATTTGTCCTTGAGCTAAACGTTGCACCGGTCCCATCACGTACTGGGTTCCTTCCGCGGCGTGAAACCAGTGCGTCCAACATAATGTTTGCTGATCATGAAAGCTGCTGAGGGGTCCAGAGACTGCTGATAGTTAGGCAACCAAAAGAAACCTTCCAAAAGTCGTAGGAATAAGCGTCAGATAAACTAGGATAGCATGGCCTATGAAGTATGAATAGAACAACACACAAACGGGTATTCGCAATTAGAAATAAAACCACCGTACAAGAGTACTGACGTTTCCACCCAACAACTAAACCATAGAGAGACCTCGGATAAAAGGCCAGCCCTTGGGGGGATGCCAAACAGACTAAAAAGTGGCTGAAGCAATGCAAGGTACCATTCGCACCCTATTTCAAAT